CCGTGAGGCCCGCAGCCGGCGCAGCCGATTGGCCCTTCTCGGGAAGCCAGTGCCGGCGCCTGTTGCTATTGGCGGGAGTGAGGGGCGGGGCCTGGGAGTGGCTCATGGTCTCTCCGTTCAAACTTTTCCCACCCACGAAATCCTTTGTTTTAGGGAAGGAGCCGAACTTGTAGCTTCCAGAAGTCTCCCCTGAGGCCGGCCGATAGATTTCGAATTTCTGACACTCGTCCTGGAAGTGCCTTGGATTTATTTGCTTTTTAAAGAGAACAAACATTACTGGAAGATACCTCATTTTAAATAAATCGGCTTGTTAACGGAGATCCTTCCCTGGGCCTCTGTTTTCTTCCCTTAAATGAGCCGGACGGTTATCTCCAACATGCCTTTCAGGTCTCAAATTCTGTGTGCGCTACAGCCAGCGGGTACGGTTTATAACCTCCAGAACAAGCAAGGCCAGATTTTATCAGGTAAAGTATAAAACTTGATCCAACACCTCAACGCGTAGTTGATGTTAAGGATCGGACGCCATCATGTTCACAAATAGAACTATCAACTGAGCAATTGGTGGTATAGCTCATTATTGGTTTTACTAAAAAAATATTTTCCATTGATTCCAGCAGTGCTGATTTTTTTTTTTTCTTCCCAGCAGTGTGGCTGTCCAGCCAAAAGTTAATGAGAATTAGAAGTTCATTCATAATAAACACAACTTTCCTACATGCACATGGTGAAAAGCACTAGGCACTGGAGATTGAAGTACCTACTCTTTCACTGATGCACCTTTGAGCTCTGGCAAGTCAAATAACTTCTCGGGGCCGTGTTATCCCAGGGTGAGAAGTCTGGAGCTAGGCAATCCCCAGACCGGCGCAGCTGTCACCAGTGTCACCAGGGGCACAGGCTCTTTTTAGTTTCAGCTCTAATACCTTTGCTTTTCGACTGCCCTCCTCACCTTCCACAACCCCCACAGAGGCTCCCTCCGCTTCTGGCAGTTTTATTGGAGAGAAGGGTGGGATTTTTCTAGACAGTTCCCCTTTTTTTTTACGGAGGAATTTCTTTTCTATAAATGATCCCAACAGCACCGCCTCCTTCTCCTCCGTCTGCCTCCTGCCATCAGACTACTCCTTAGATGACGGGCTGAAGTCAGGGTCACACGGTCGCGCCCCAGGATGAGGGAGGCTTGGAAAATAAGCATCAGGCGTGTTTGATCCCGGTCGTAAGATGGGTTCTGCCAGCATGAAAGCGAGCATTGGGTAGGAAACTAACAGCGCCCAAGCAGGTGCCACACACACAGGAGAAAGGCAAAGTTAATATGGATTAATATTTATTAAACTGTTCCTCTGACCTAGATGCCGTTTTAATCACTATGTGCTATTGAAACTTGACACCAATTTTACAGGTGTAGAAACTGAGGCATGAAGATATTTAATAACTTACCTAAGGGGTATGCAGCCAGTAAAAAGCAGAGTTGGGATTTCAATCCAGGCCATCTAACTTCAAAGCCCAATCACTTAACCATTTAACCACTGCTTTTACACGATTATTGTAATACAGGATTAAAGGTGAATAGTAATAAAATTTATATAATTCAAAGCAGAAGGAGCAGAAAATTTTAACATATTCTTAAACTCTGACATTTTTTAATATTTTGACTTTATCCCCTGCTTAGTAAGTAATCTACAAGGTGTGACTCATTGCTATAACCTATAATGTGATAATTCATCCATGTGGACATAAAACATGTCTGTGATATAAAGACATTTAAGGTAAATCATGACACCAAAAAATTCATGTGGTTATTCTTGGCTGAAAAAGACAAAATGCTCCCTGAAAAGTTTCTTATAAAAAATTTGTCAGTTGCTCATAATGATTGGGTTTTAAAATATTCTTAATATTTTTATAATATGAACATTTGAACTTGGCTAAAATGTATCACCCATTGTACATTTTTTGTCTTCAAAATTATTGTATTTTTAGTAACCAATCCTAGCATTATATTAAAGAACTGATTGATTTTTTTCTTCCTCCTACCTATGTGACGCTAAAGAATCCCTACTCAAAAACATCCCATTATTTTCTAATAGAGAAAAAAAAAAAAAATGAAAACAGCTGTATAGTAAAAAATACATTCTAATAATAGTATTAAAAATCCCTCCCTAGCCTTTTTGAAGGAGACTAGAAAGAGGCAGAGGAGAAAGCACTCATATGGAAGACACAAAAAGAATTGGTGAGTAATAAGCTAAAGAAAGAAAATCAAAGACAGTCTCAATTGAAGCAGGGCCTTCATTGGAATTTTCAAGTAAGTCACAGCAAAATCTCTTGAAATAATCACAGTAGGCGGTTATTCAAGAAAACTGGGATCAAACTAGGGTGCTAGGAGCTGTGGAATTTGGGAGAAACTTGAAACTTTAGCTGTGCCCAGCAAGTTAAAGGGAAAATAGCAATTTTCGAGAATAGAAATGACATCACAAGAAAAAAGAACCGTAGAAGAGTACATATTGTGACTTTGAATTTAGAGGGAGAGAAGTAGAGATGAGCTGGAGTGGCTTTTGAAGCCATTCAGGAAGACGAGTGCTTTTGAAGCCATTCAGGAAGACGAGTGCCTAAGCCAGAATAGCCTTTAAAAACTCTCATTGGCCAGAGTCCCTCTTGGGGAGGACACTTTAGAAATGCTTGAGGTTGGGGCAGGGGGCATAGTCCATCTAATCCTCCCACCCGCCTGTTTTCTGAGTGGTGCCCAGGATTGTGAGATCAGGCCGGAATATTGGTGGTAGTGGTTAGCTAGTTGGTTTTTCTACTTGAAAGTAAGGAAAAAGAAAGAAAGAAAGAAAGAGAGAGAGAGAGAGAGAGAGAGAGAGAGAGAGAGAG